AATGCCCTCAGGATTTATCCTGAGATCCTGTACCTCAGATTGTAGAACCTTAGTGTCAGCTATGTGGATGAGTCACAGCCATTGCTTGGCCAATGTGCTCTCTGTGAAAGCTTGAGAGAATGTTTTCTCTTCATGTGACTCTCCTTAGGCACACTCCACATCATTGATCATTTTCCTCTTTGGCCCCATAATCTCCTTGATCAGAAAATTTGGGACACTACTGAGTTACATGATGTTACAGTACAAGTTCTCATACGTCCTGAATACTCAGACTTAATTTTAACAGCACATTAAAGTATAAATTTGGTTCATAGATTTTTTTTTCTTCCCATGACAATGACTGCTCCTGGGTCCCAATGCCATTCCTATGTCCCTCACTGGGGTGCATAGCTTGCCTCTTGCTCTGGAAGTCTACAGGGAGGTTGGAGAAATAAGATCACCCTCAGCACATGCATTTTACAGGAGAGAGACATAAACCCCATGAAGATGTATTTTCTTATCTGAGGAACTAATCTAGGCAGTAGGCTCAGAAAAGGTTAAAAGGTGCCAGGTCACAATGGGAGGCTGAGCAAGCAGGCCCTGGGGGAGAAATCTGCTCATGCATTTAGTGCTTAGCCTCATGAAGTGTGGCTAAGCCTGAGGTCTGGAAGTGAAATCATGAGGCAAGATCAGACAGAAGCAATGATTCCCTAAAGGACCAACTCTCAGAGAACAAGAAGTCATCTAACTCAGGACTTGTCCTTTACAGCACTTTAAGTTTTCACAGGTGTTCCACAAGGTTGATATTATGACTGATAATCTACAGAATAAGCTGAGGTTAGTGCAGAGTAGAAAATCACCTAAGATTACACTATTGGAAGTGTGGGCATTCAAGGGCAGGTCTGGCTCAGCCAGGCCTATCTGCTTCATTGTATACTAGGTCCACTGTCCAGGATGCCTGACCCTTCTGTCCAAGCAATGGTGGAGCTGGAGGGAGAGAAAGAATGGCTTTAGTTTCAGGAGGGAGGTGTGCAAAAGCAGAATGATAGGTCCATTAAGATCACAAAGCAGGAGGAGGGGCAGGGATGAATCTAGATGGTGAATTTCAGCTCTGGATATTCTCTTCCGCACTGGAACAGGGAGGACAGAATGATTCTCTTAACCCTTCTGAGGCATGGGGCTAAGATGGCAGCAAACAGCTCACATGTTAAGGCTGAGAAAAGGTTGAAGAGGGAGAGGGGAATGTTAGGGGCAGGTAGGAGGAGAGGCTGACTCTGCTGAAGCAAAGTAGCTGGGTCTACCACGTATCAACCTGATGAAGCAACTGACCTGGAAAAAAAGACCTAGTGGTCCTAGAGGTCAGAAACTAAGATCCTCATTTTGGTCATTGGCCTGCTATGATAGGCTTGGCCATGGGACTTCACACTGCACAGCCAGAGAGTGAAGCAGAATTTTCAGGCTTCTGGCATGCTGGGGTGTCTAAGGACAGAAACTTTGGGTGACCCTGACAGCTGAGCCCCAGTCTATGTCTGACTTGTACCAACTACCCCCAAGGCACACAGACTCCTCCCTGCTGCCATCTCTGCCTTCACCTCCCCAGCTCAGCCCTGAGCATTTCTCCAGAACTTCCTGTTTGTCTGCGGCTGGCTGTACAGACGCAAAGGTTCCACCCGAGGTCATCTGGAGGAGGCTTGGGGTGTGGGGTGGGGGTCGGCTGTGCTCCCCAAAGCTCTTCCACCCACACAGGGGTCCTTTGGGCTTCATCACTCCCGTGGGATCCTGTAGATTATGGAGCAGAGGCCCTGTATCCAAGTCAGCTCATAATTTGAAGGTCAAGGTGACCTAGAAAGGCTTATGGGCAAGATCCTTAAAACTTTTTTTTTTTTTTTGGTTTGATTTTTCACTTTCCAAAAAGGCCAAACAGCAATGACTTCAGGACATGGCGTTCCAGAGAAAACTGGGAGAGGAACAAAGCCTTCCTTGGTTTGGGAGATGGAGAGAAGTCACGCAGGGAGTGAAGTTTTCCAGTCGCCCCAAAGAGTGTCACCAGGGTCAAAAGACTCGCAGGTGCTGGGGCGGTAGGGGCTGTGAAGAAGGACAGAATGAATGTTCCTGGAGGGCAGGGACTAAGTCAACACCAGCTCTGGAAAATGTCCAGGATGTGGGGCTGGAAAATGCTCCTACTGCAAAGCAGAGCTTTCTGGGTGGCTGTCTTTCCTTCCCAACTTGTCCAAGAGGACAAAGGCTGAAGTCACCAGGAGAGGGCCTTTCTGCTCTGACTATCTTTGGGCATTTTTCTGCTTGCTTGCATTCATAATTAATGTCTCTGTGTTTAGACAACTGCAGAAATATACACTATATTAGAACATTGTAGTGTCTGGCATTGGGGGTACCATAATACAGTCATGTGAAGGACAGGAGGACACATCTCAAACTAAGGGTGGAACTCTGGACAACTTGGTCTTCAGATCTCTCTCTCTCTCTCTCTCTCTCTCTCTCTCTCTCTCTCTCTCTCCCTCTCCCTCTCCCTCTCTCTCTGTGTCTCTGTGTATGAGAGAAGACAAGATACCAAAATGACAGACTTATAATAAATCCCAAGAAGGAAGATGTTTTCCCTACAAAATTAGGTTGGGTATCTCCAGTATTTTCTTTCTTTCTTTCTTTCTTTCTTTCTTTCTTTCTTTCTTTCTTTCTTTCTTTCTTTCTTTCTTTCTTTCTTTCTTTCTTCTCTC